CATCCATACATACATACATCCATATTTCCATCCATCCATATGTCTGTCCATCCATTCATCCATCCATCCATACGTCCATCCATCCATCCACATGTCTGTCCATCCATCCATCCATATGTCCATCCATCCATATGTCCATTCATCCATCCATCCATCCATCCATCCATATGTCCATTCATCCATCCATACGTCCATCCATCCATCCATCCATATGTCCATCCATCCATACATAAATCCATCCATCCATACATACATACATCCATATTTCCATCCATCCATATGTCTGTCCATCCATTCATCCATCCATCCATACGTCCATCCATCCATCCACATGTCTGTCCATCCATCCATCCATATGTCCATCCATCCATATGTCCATTCATCCATCCATCCATCCATCCATATGTCCATTCATCCATCCATCCATCCATCCATCCATCCATCCATATGTCCATCCATCCATACATTCATCCATCCATATTTCCATCCATCCATATGTCTGTCCATCCATTCATCCATCCATCCATCCATATGTCCATCCATCCATACGTCCATCCATCCATCCACATGTCTGTCCATCCATCCATCCATATGTCCATCCATCCATATGTCCATTCATCCATCCATCCATCCATCCATATGTCCATTCATCCATCCATACGTCCATCCATCCATCCATCCATATGTCCATTCATCCATCCATACGTCCATCCATCCATCCATCCATACGTCCATCCATCCATATGTCTGTCCATCCATCCATACATCCATCCATCCATACGTCCATCCATCCATATGTCCATCCATCCATCCACATGTCTGTCCATCCATCCATCCATCCATCCATCCATCCATCCATCCATCCATCCATCCATCCATATGTCCATTCATCCATCCATACATCCATCCATCCATACGTCCATCCATCCATATGTCCATCCATCCATCCATCCATCCATATGTCCATCCATCCATCCACATGTCTGTCCATCCATCCATCCATACATACATACATCCATCCATATGTCCATTCATCCATCCATCCATACATACATACATACATACATACATCCATCCATATGTCCATTCATCCATCCATACGTCCATCCATCCATATGTCTGTCCATCCATTCATCCATCCATCCATCCATCCATCCATCCATCCATACGTCCATCCATCCATCCATATGTCTATCCATCCATCCACATGTCTGTCCATCCATCCATCCATCCATCCATACATACATGCATACATACATCCATCCATATGTCCATTCATCCATCCATATGTCTGTCCATCCATTCATCCATCCATCCATCCATCCATCCATCTATCCATCCATCCATTCATCCATCCATATGTCCGTCCATGTCCGTCCAAAATAAAAGTTTGTGTTTACAAAGTATATGTGGGTGCACTGTGTATAATTATTTTAAATATATATATATATATATAGAGAGAGAGATATATAATATATATATAAGAAATAAGAAAGTATTTTCATGTATATACTCTATATAGATTTATATATAATTTATATTATATATAAATATTTTATATATAAATAATATTTTTTCTTAAATATACATGCATGTGTGTTTATTTATATATATATATAAAATAATTATACACAGAGCACCCACATATACTAGGTAAACAACACAAACTTTTATTTTGGATGCGATTAATCGCGATTAATCGTTTGACAGCCCTACCGTCCGTCCATCCATACGTCCATCTACCCGTATGTCCATCCATCCATCCATCCATCCAATATTATCTTTACCAAAACATAAAAAAATAATAACAACAACAACAAGAATATAACAATAACAAAACTTTTTATTAACATTAATCTAAGTAGCCTATTGAATAAAAATTTTGCCTAATATCATTCAAAGCAGGACATTCCAATAAAACATGCTTTACAGTCCCGGAAGACAATCACAGACGCTCTCAGTAAATATACTGTACACGGGTCAGTCTCGTGTTTCTCTCTATAATAACAACCCTTCAATTTCCTCACAGCTAATAACTTTTAAAGAAATATTACAGGGTGCTTGTGAGCAGTATTTGCGAAAAACCCATATGACTAAAATCCAACTACTCTACAGTATTCATCCCAAATAAATAAACAAACCAAACTGTGTTTTTATCATTTCATCAGCACAGATTATGGTGCATTGCTCACGTGATGTGGTGGTTTGGGTATCGATGCGTTTATACACAGATGTGGAGAATACATAGACTTCCGGTGTAGTGTTTACACACATGAACCATGAAGAACATCTGTTCAAGAGCTCAGACAGACAGAGAGAGAGAGAGAGAGAGAGAGAGAGAGAGAGAGAGAGAGAGTTTTGCAGATGGACGTCTGCTTTATGAATGAAAGAGAAAGTCAAACATCTGCAGTCATGTTGTGTTGTGAAACACAGGGAAATGACAGCCGGTTAATCACAACGTACAAGAAGTAGTCAAATATCGGCAATACATACAGCAGCCGATGCCCTAAAGACCAGGAAATGGTTTGACAAACTATTTGATGTTTTCAGACACACTCTTGTCAGTTTAAATCTAGACCCATTTCTTTAACCTGGCATACACAAAACACATGACCACATTTAT